TTTCAAGCTATCATCATCGTGTACAATAAAACTTACTGGTAAGGAGTTAATTAAGGGCTTCTCCCCCAATACAAAAAAGGTCAAATTAAGAAGTAGTACTGTTACAATGCCTTATCAAAAAAAAGGCACATGCATATATAGACAATAACTAAATATTTAACAAAATTGATTTAATACAAATAAATCATTAATATATGCAGTCCAGCCAATAATGAGCTGAAAATATTTATCAATATCAAAGAGTGAGAAAATGAAATGCAGCCTGACTAAAACTCAAACCAGAGACACTCAGAATACCATACCTCAGCACTACCAAAAAACCCAGAACCCTTGGAATACCATACAGCAGCTCTACAGCTTAAATATTTTCAGTCTCATAGTTCTATGCATTGACATAATCCACAGCATATTGAAAGTTTTCCTGTTTCATTGGCACACTTAAGTTACAAAGTGAATTGACTTATGATTCAGTTATGTACCATCATAAATATATATTGGACCCTAAAAGTAACAGGGTGAAAATATCACAGGGTGAGAAAAATGTGCAGTTAGACCGGAATCAAACCTGAATCAGAATATTATACATGTATGTGGGCTGTACTGACTCACTCAGCTGAGCTATCTAGCTGGCAATGTCAATAATCTATTACACATGGGCATAGAAGTCAAAGAAACATTCATTGATAATGACCCATTATTTAAAGTAAATCATATCAGAAACATCCCTTGAAAATGATATCATTTCATTTTTGACCCACAGTTATTACCACTACCTCCTAATGGGCCTAATTAAACTGAGCCTGCAGAATTTTATAATTTTGCTGTCTGTCAGACATGGCAATTTCTTATGGGTTTCATCTTTATCTCCATTTGAAGGGATGTAACTCATGTTTACTAAATAGTTTGCTCTTATCTGTCTATCTTAGCCATTACAGACTATTCTAGCTGTATATAAACATAAAAAAAATTTTATATTCACAAACAAAACATAATAAGATGAAAAATTTACCAGTTGGAGAAATTCATCAAATGGATGGAGGTCCAGGAATGATGAATATGGATAGAAATATTTTTTTTGACTGGCTTTATGTACCTTCTAGTTATCATTGTGGCAAGGAATTTTATAATTATTCAGTTAAACCTGGGTTTTCAGTTAAGATTTCATCATAAAAAGATCTTTAGGACTCTAAATAAATTCATATTTGTGGTATCAGGGGAAATTAAATTACTATTTGTGCTAAATCTGACCATAAACATCAATCTAAATATTTAGAATGTACTTGTGTTGAGTGTCATATTTCACTCTTCACTTTGGTTATCCCAGGTCAACCCTTTTTTTTTACTAATGGCTTTAATTTAACTGCCCATGCAATCATAAGCTCATATATGGCTAATAATTTTACCTTATATATATCAATAGTCTAAGGAGTTATGTAAAAAAATGTTAAATGTGGCTCAGCCTGACTGAGTGATTTGATTGTAAATAACATATTTCAAAATATATTTCTGGACTCAACATGCTTTCAAAACTCTGTAAGAAAACTGTCAAATGATGAATATTCATCTGGATTTGTTACCCAAAATCTGTGTGATTCTAGCACTTCATTTTTTCTAGGATTGCAATAGCTTTCTATTTTGTCAAATTATTTTTTTCACTTTCAGTTTATGTTCTGCATTTGCCCATGTAAATTGATAACTTTAGGTCCAGCACAGTGTAATAGGATATTTACTTGTATCTTTTCATCTTTCTCAGCATTTCCACTGGCAGTCAACACTGGTAAAGTAATTTCGATTGGCGCTTCCATTTGATAAAGTTATGTGATATGTTACCATTTTCAACATCTAAATGTCCAGGGGGTCTAAACATATCTGCCATGATTGTCAGTTCGAATAATACCGATTACGAACGCTAAATTCGAATAATATTGAGTACAAATTCTTAGTTCGAATAATATTGAGTACGAATCTTCCCCTTCCCGAAAATGGCTTTTGGACGATATATTTCACTCAAGTGGCAGAAATACTTCACACTGCAGGTGTGAAACAAATAAATGCATACTCCTCCGATGCCACCACGTTGATAGGGTTCTATTATATGCAATTATATGACAATACGTTTTCAAAACGTAAACTTTAATCCATTCATACAGACGCTTAGCCTGGGTTCCAGTCTGTCGATTTTATGTTATGTTTCTGTTTGGCAAATCGACACTATCATAACGACGAACGAATACGGAATATTTTAGCGCATATGTTATGAAAAAAAAATGTTATAAATAAGCAAAAACTATCAACGCCTGAATCCCAGGCTAACAGACGCTTACAATGTTACATAACACTAAATAAGACATATATATCTGTATATGCTCGTTTTCTAAAACAGTTTGAAATAGAAAAAGTATGCAAGTCTATATTTAAAAGTAAATAAGTTTATTTGTTTGATTTAATATATTAATTTTGGATGTTGGACATATTTTTATACAGAGTCTGTCGTAATTCATTCATTCTTGCACGCGCATGCGTGGATACGAAGTTTGAAGCGTAGGTTTACACAATGCTTTTATGAATGAAATAGAAAGTTTCATATTTTTTGCTTTCGACATGTTTAGAAAATGTTTATTTGAACTGAAAGTGCATAGTTTTGAACTTTCAAAGCTTACTGACCACTATGCAAACAGTATATCAATAAAAAGTGATCTTAATGTGACAATCCTGCAAAATGAGGATCTACTTTTATCGAGGTTTCATCCAAAGGTGGATGTTGTTCAGCAAAACAGGTTAGGTGTACTAAATCTGAAATACAGCTATAACTCTGTATACATTGCAAGCAATGTATACAAAAACTGTGTAAAGATATGGATTATTTATAACATCAGTTAGGTTTGAGTTCTGTTAAATCTGAAGACATTATTGATGTTATAGAAGGTTATATTGGCGAAGGATAAGGCATAGTTAGTGATGACAATCTTAGTAAGTTTCCAATAGAATAAACTTATTTTATAATCATAAATTGTATTATAAATGGGATAGCAATACTTAACAGATCCACATCGAATCTACACGTAGAGCATACAGAACAAACGAAATAAGAAATATGATACATTGAAAACAGATAAGTAATAGGGAGGCTTTGAAAACTAAACCATTAATATTAAAGGATGTGTGAATAGCCTAACACACCTTTTTGGTAAACACAAGTGGCTGGTTTAATCAGAATAGAGGCATTTAAAAATAATTTATGTTCTACCTTTTTACATACAGAAATATTTCTATTCCTTGTTCAGTTGCACTTTCTTTACATGTTTTGCCTACTGAATTCCTCTCTTGAATAGAAGTAAATGCACCTTCTCAAACCCCCTCCGTCGCTTAGAAGACACGTACAGGGCATCGGCAGATGATTGATAAACCACTGAACATAACGTGTAAGACAGCAAGTTCTCGACATGTTTTCTACAGCTCGAGGTAACGTTGAATGCGGCACGACTAAGTATGCCGTCTTCCTGACATAAGCGGAGGGGAGTGGCCGTACAAAAACAGCAAGAACGACGAGAGTGTGCTAGGGTGTGTGAGCTCCCAAGACAGATAGTGATGGTTGCATGCCCTTCGCTAGAATAACAGCCCTTTTCAGTGCTACCTCCTTTTCATACTGTTTGTTAGGTTATCATTGGTCGCCGAACAGTGGCCGATTTTGGGCTCAAAATTCATATCTTTGCCAAACTCGTGGAAATTCAATGTTAGGATACGATGTTTAAAATTATGTCGAGTGCTAAAGCCAATCTTTGGTGCGCTACATTACTTTTTGATATTCTAACGATTTCTTAGAATAAAAACATATTTTACCTTCTAGTAAACGGGATGTTTACAAAAAAACAAAACATTTTTTTTAAGGTTTTAGCAGTGTCAGTACATGTAAACAAACACAAATGAATTCAAATGTAAAAACTTAAATAGTGATGATTCAATAGAACACTAAATCAAGTGTTGTCGCAAACTAGTAGTTTGACAGACTAATTTTTGCGTATCCAGTTAAAGAAAAAACAACTTGAATTGACACCTTAAAACCACCATCTTTAATCTTAATTATCCTGCGCCCCCCCCCCCCCTCAATCAGTGCATCAAGTTCTATTAATTTAAATATGGATTGTTCGGATTTCAATATTATAATTTTATCCTCTTGTTTTTTATAGAAAAATCTATGTACACAATGACCTTATAAAATGCTATCAATAATTCTTGCATTATCGAACGGCTATGAAAGCATTTAATTCTAGGTTTACTATATAATATTAAGTAAGGAATTGTGTGAACAGGTGATTAGGAATACTGATATCCAAAACTTATGTTGACATATAGTAATTTTCATATTTTAAGCATTCATAACGCGAGTTTGCTCCACCAAAGGGATAATAATTGACCCTTGTTACACAGAGAAAGGCGCAATGGGAATGTTCGGAGAGCTGGAAAATAATTCATCAAATTTGACTCTTTCTAATTTTTTATAAACATCAAGAACTGTAGAGCATTTAAAATTTATCTGAGAACAGTTTGGTTTGACGCTTTAATTCTCCTTTTATTAGTATTTCTGTACTTCTTGTATTTGAAAACATGTGATCCTCTGTATTAGCTATCTGTTTTTATTTTGGGTTTATATATATATATTGAAGGAGGTATATTTGGTTTGTTCAATGGAGTAATGGACAGAATCATTGGCAAGGAGGGGGCAGTTACAAATGATATAACTTTGTGGCCGGATGAATGCGTTTCTCCAATTAAAACCGGAATTTGATTACATTTGTATTTGTTCTGTTCGAAGAATAAATTATTGTACAGCATGACTCTGCGCGTACTTCTTTCACAATATCCTCAACCTTATTTCAGATATTAAGCTTATTTATACACCAAAGGGATATGATTAAATCTATATAACTGTGACAGAGATTCAAGAATAACCAGCGCATTGTTTGTGACATTTTAATCGTTTAAAGAGTTAATATCTAAAATTTTAAGAAATTAAATTTGACTGACTCATGAAAGTATAGTATTTAATAATTTAAAGTAATACAAAACGATCTGTGTATGATAACTTAATTCAAATGATTCACTATTTCATTATTCGGTATTAAGTTTAATTTTCAATTTAATAGTTTTAAAGAAAACATAACAATATCACATTTACAACAAAATATGGATAAAAAAAACAAGGTAAACAAGGAAGGTCGGCGTTCAATGATAACAACCAAGAATCGACCCAACAAAACGGAGCCCCGGCATGGAGCTCAGGAGGAAATTAAACAGGCACATGTTGTTTACATAAGTAAGCTCTAGTACTTATAATAATATATATCGACCATTCTAACAGACTGAATGAATATTATCATGGAAAAATATATTTCACAACAGAATGTTATATGCGGACTATTCTGTTGATTCTTTATTGTCTAGTCTAAATACAAAAAAACACTGACACTGTACGGTTTAATAAAAAATCATCATGCAAAATTGTAGAACCTCGACAGCAATGAATAAAGTCACAGAACGAAAGAAAAATGATGCTCATTAGGATTCACATAACGAAATGTATACGTTTTCTTAACTAAAGACTAACACTAACAAAAGGAAAGGTTTTAAAGTAGAAAAAAGTTCTAATGTAAACTCCAATAGCAGCATAAATCATCAGTTAACAATGTCAACGTCGTTGAATTATAAACACACATGAAACATCTGCAGAAAAACACGTAGAAAGCGAAATCAAATTATAAGATTATTAAAATATCAACAGAACCATAACCAACAATATCATACTTAAGCATTGTCCAATATAACCTTAGGCACGGACGAAGTTGATTTCAATAATTGTCATTGAACCTGTCAATTCTGAAACATGTTCATAATATCCACAAATGGTTTGAACAAACTGAACTTTCCCGTAGTCCTCTGCTTCCTTCTTGGCGGTTTAGGTGGTAAGTTAACTTGCGCCGTGATTATTTTCGTCGTGTCAGTAACACCTGTTGTAAATCGATCTACGTCGTCGCCAATGGTTGCTTTTTTGCGGCACTGTTTTAGGGATACAATCCTAGCTTGAAATCCTGGTCGTTTTTCCAGTCTCTCGCTTTCAATCAGAAGGTCGATATGCTCAACAACACTTAGGGGGTCAGGTCGAAGAGCTATCTCTCTAAGGATATTGTTGCAAGTATTTATTGTATCCATCAGCTCCATGATATCATCTTCAAGGTCGAACAATTCATCATACATTCTTTCTACAACCTTTTTGCGCGTCATTGTTTCTCCTTCGGCCCGGCGGTACTTTTCAAGCTTCTCTGTATAGGTCCTCTGTTTCTGTACTGTAACATACTCAAATATGTAAGGTGTATTTCTGTGAATATCCCAAAAACAATGCTCCTGACACTGTGTACAATTCCCATTGCTGTCCATTGCACAACAATGCTTCTTATCCTCGTCATTTGCATAGGCACAATCATTGTGGCATGTCATATGGCAATTCAGGCAATTTGTTACATGTTTGCCTTTGGGAAGATCGATCTGCTTTTGTTCTGTTTCTGAAACAGTGTAAGTGAAGTCGCTATTTTCTTCTATTTGAGTTTTGTAATCTTCTAATATTCTGATTTCAACGCGCAATTCTTCGATTTTATTCAACCCAGCATCTAACTTTGGAAGAAGATTGTCCATAGTTAATTCTATTTGCTCACGCTGTGAAAGAACATCTCTCGTCTGCCGAAGACTTTTTGTTTCCATCTTGGTGAGCGTATTGAAAAACATCTGAAAACTTTTGCATCCCATTTCCCAAAACATAGGCGAAAAACATGAAACATTATCCCCGGTATTCTCCGCGAAGAGACCTGAATTATTGAATGGAAAGTACTGCTCATGTGGTAGTTTTGCTGCTCTTAAAGCAGATAATACAGGAGGTCTTTTCCCATCCGCAAAAGTAACAAGCATGCATATATTGTTCTCTATATCTTGCCCGAATAGTGACATTATAGCGTTAAAGATGTACATCTGTGTGGGTGTTAGACGAGCATCAGGGGCTTTGATAAGAAAGCAAACAGCGTCGATGTAAAGAACACCAGTGTCATCTTCACGAGAAAACAAGGTACGAATTTGATCAATGATTTCCTTGTCTCGATCAATTCCCCTCGTATCTCCGAATCCCGGCGTGTCTATGATGTTTAAAGTGTAGTTCAAGCGGCTACCAGACATCGGATGTATTGTATAGCATGTTATCCATTGAGTCTGCGAGACTGCCTGGAAATCAATTAAAGATTTGATTTGCGATTCAATATACTTCTATTGCATGATTTAAAACATTGTGGGTGCAAATTTCATATTTCAAAGAATGTCGTCTACACCATCATCGTAATCGACATAACAGATTATTTACCTGATCAGCATCTGTATCTTTCTCTTCATCTTCCAGATCAACTAGTGTAAGCCTGTATTTGTCATTCCAATTCACACCAAGTATATAATTCACCATCCCGTCGACAAGAGTACTCTTCCCTGTCCCTGTCGCGCCTACAAGCATGATTGTTCTTTCTGCAAAATGAGTTTTGCTCGCTTCACCTATAATACATTGAATACTTTACTGAATTTAATTCTGCTGTTATAACCAGTTTATGCGTAAACATTGGTTTACCTTTTCGCACGTAAAGAATTTCTATATCATCAATTCTAGTTTGACTATTGTTGGTATTTAAAGATAAATACTAACCTATAACTAACTTCCTAGTTTTTGCTAATTCGTTTCTTGTTCCTACATTTTCTTGTAATGGAATTTTTTTCAATGGCATTTCCACATCTGGTCTTGAAACGTCATAAGTAAACTCCAATAATTGTTGAGCGGCTGATTGAATAGTCTGAACGGGATCGCTTGTTTCGCTGTACGGTCCTTCAATCTCATCATTCACCATTCGGACTTGAAATATATATTGTGTATCGGATCTTAAAGTGCTCAAAGTGACTGTACTACTGGCCATTAATTCTGGATGAAGTTTCCATTTTTGCTTTTCTTTAACTTCTTTGTACCTCAACTGATAGTTGAAGTTTTCATACAGTTCTTTTGGTGGTTCCCAGGCCAAAAGGACAGTGTCTACATGAACTTGTCCAACTGCGCTAGGTTTCCCTGGTTTATCACAAGGTTCCTATCAATAAATCAAGCAAATACATATATATGAAAGCAAGACTTATTCTATTCTCAGCGGTTTCCTGACACAAATATTGCAATGTTATTACTTTGTGATGATTAAGTTGTTTTTTTCACTGCTTGAAATAATTTCAACAATTTTTTTTCAGTATACAATGTAAAATGAAGACAATACTTAAACGATTTCTTTTGATATATAATAAAGAATAAAAATTCTTATCAACAACTTTACGTTCGAAATGGGGTTGATTGAAATGAGAATCAATATGTTTAAACTTCTACCCAATTTGTCATGGTATAATCTATAAGCAAAGCTGTTTTGAATGTTTTTGAACACATTCCATATTCTTTTTGCTGTTAGATTGTTGATTTTGCAAATAAAGTAGAAAGCAAGAAGCTTTTTTAATACTTAATGTACTCTCACATTTGCTTTGATTGAACCTATTTCCATGTTGGTCAGTACTGATACTTGATCGCTGAAATATAGAAAACATACATTGTATCTTATAAGAATTTAATTACATAACAGAGTTATGCCTGAACATAATAATTTTTAAGCACCATTGTCTTGTACTTTTAGAAGGATACTTATATCATTACAACGCATAACAAGTATACATGTAATTAACTGTATATGTAATTAAAAGTACGAGCATTCCTTGAAAATTTAAAATACATATCTTAGGTGCTGTTCTCAAGTCCTCACATTGTCCTAGACGAATAAAAGTGACATTGTGCCCATCTAAGGGTATATAGTGAGTGAGCACGTGAATGTTTGATTGTCATAATTCCTTTAAATTTAATAACTTACAAATTACTCACGTGACCCAGGGCAATTTCTGTAAATATCCATCAGGCTTTACCTGTTTAGGTCAATTTATAATAATAGTGGGACAGTCTTTTTATATTTAAGGAAGATTTATATTTTATATTAAACATTTTCCAACATCAACAGTTAGTCAATCATCAATTTTACAGTCAGTCATTTGAAATACATGCATATAGTCAATTCAGCTCAGCTTGAAAATGAAAAGATGAGCATAATGTCACTTTAATCATTCTTACAGTTTTGTCATACAAATCTATTCAATTAAACTTGCAATTTAAACAATTGCGTAGTAAATATATGTATCACCAGAAGAAATGAAATAATTAATCTGTAATATTAATGAATAAAAATGATATAGTGAATTTCCAATTGATAATTTCTTAGCAATTTAACAAATATATTATTGACAAAACGGCATAATATTACCTCTTACTGTCGGCACCGGTAACTTGTTCAGAAGTAGATGTACTAACACCAGGTAACTCTTCATATCTTAATTCGTCCTGGTTTCGTTCCTGATATGTTGTGCTTTGGTTGTTATCGATCTCATTTTTACAATCTTTGTTTTCGTCAGCTCCTTTAGAAGCTTCCTGTTCAGTTTCAATTTGAGGTGCGTCATTGTTATGTATGTCATCAATTTGTTCACTGTTCACATAAGCTTCACGATCATCCATTCTCATCTTCAAATACACGTCATCCTGAAAGAATATTTTCTTTATAATAAAAGTCTGAAATATAAACAATAAATACAATAAAACTAGGTACGCTCTAAATGTGAGAAAAACAGTGTAATATAAAAAGGTACTTTAAAGTATAAATAACAAATTCACATAGGGTGTTGTTAAGATAATATTATCTAATTTAACCTTATGTCTTAAATTTAGAGATGTTAAATGTTGATCATTTTGTATTTGTCAAAACAAAGCTAAGTCGTTGTTAAGAAAAAAGAAACTATTTAAAACATTTATCACAATTCAACGTTTTTTAACGATTTTCTCGTATTGCTCAAAGGTATAAGAAAAATATCTTCTATTTTCCGAAAACGCGTTAGTTGCAGGCATTAATGTTAAACATATGCAAACGACTTAAATAGTTATTTACTGAAATACACGGTTTAAAATAAATCTAAAACTTAAAAGTTGTTTGTCGAAATCGCAGTGCAGCTTTTAATCATCCAATATAATTGTATGTTCAAAAGGGGGTTGATTGATATGAGAAACATAATCTTTTTCATAGTATAATCTATAATTAAAGCTATTTCTGAATGTTTTTGAACACATGTCATATTCTTTTTGCTGTTAGATTGTTGATTTTGCAAATAAAGTAGAAAGCAAGAAGCTATTTAAATACTTAATGTGCTCTCACATTTGCTTTGATTGAACCTATTTCCATGTTGGCCAGTACTGATACTCGATCGCTGAAATATAGAAAACATACATTGTATCTTTTAACAATTTAATTACATTAAAGAGTTATGCCTTAACATAATAATTAATTTTTATGCATCCCTTGTACTTTTAGAAGAAAACTTATTACAACGCATAACATGTATACATGTACTTAACTATATATGTAATTAAAAGTACGAGCAGTTCCTTGAAAATTTAAAATACATAAATTATCATAGGTGCTGTTCTCAAGTCCTCACATTTTCCCAGACTTAAAGATTCATGTAAGTCAGGACATGTTGTTCATTGAAGTGACGTTATGCCCATCTAAGGGTATATAGTGAGTGAGCAGGTGAAAGTCTGATTGTCATAATTCTTTTAATTTTAATAACTTACTTCGCACAAATGATTAATAACTCACGTGACCCAGGGCAATTCTGTAAATAGCCATCCGAATTTACCTGTTACGGTCAATTTAAAAGCAGAGTGGGGCAGTCTTTTTATAATTTAGATAGATGTATATTTTATCTTTAACATTTACAATACCCCCAGTTAGTTAATCACCATTTTAACAGTCAATCATTTGAAATATATAGTCAATTCAGCTTACTTTAAAAATATAAAGTAAATTTCCTATTGATAATTTCTTAGCAATTTAACAAATATATTATTGACAAAACGGCATAATATTACCTCTTACAGTCGGCACCGATAACTTGTTCAGAAGTAGATGAACTAACACCAGGTAACTCTTCATATCTTAATTTGTCCTGGTTTTGTTCCTGATCTGTTGTGTTTTGGTTGTTATCGACCTCATTTTTACTCTCTTTGTTTTCATCAGCTCCTTTAGAAGCTTCCTGTTCAGATTCAATTTGAGGGGCGTCTTTGTTCTGTATATCTACTTCAATTTGTTCACTGTTCACAAAAGCTTGACTATCATCCATTTTTTCTTCCTGAAAAAAGTATTTTATTAATAATAAATTCACACCGTGTGATATTATTTATTTAAACCCGATAAACGCAAAATGTTAATAATTTTGTATTTGTCAAAACAGATAAAGCCTTAGTTAGTCGTTGTTAAGAAAAAAAAACCGATTTAAACACACCTTAACAGTGATACTAAATGCTCAAATATATAAGAAAAAAATCTTCTATTTTCCGAAAACGCATTAGTTATAGATAACCCTAGTCAAGCAGGCATTAAGATTAAACATAATTATGCAAACGACTTTAAATCATTATTTTCCGAAATACATAATTAAAAATAAACTTAAAACAGAAAATTCGTTTTCCGAAAACAAAGTACACCTTTAAATCGATCCGATATAATTAATTGTATGTAGGCGTTTCAATTATAAACCTACACAATGCACGTCAAACTGATTGTAAGTTGGTAGGAACGCCTCGATGATTTTGAGGTTTATACAGACTAAAATAGTGTCAGTCGGTAATATAATTATTAAAAGATATGTCTTACAACAAGAATGCACAATGACATACAAATATAATCTAATCTGAAATCATGCCAACAGGTATTTATTTTTAACTTTAGTATAAAAAATAATATAGTTCTATAGATTAACTCAATTTAGTTTCACGTTTACATATGCAAACTACCGTGGCTAATTTGGTACATTGTTCGTTGCGTTGTCGGTCGATAGCGACAACGCAACCTATATCGGTATCGTTTGTTCGTGTTGTCGCTTGCGACAACACGATTAAGCTCCAAACGGCCCGTTGTCGCGCTGTGTCTTGTCGTCCTGTCTTTAGCAAAGCACGCCAAACGGCGCGTTGTCGTGCGGCGCGTTATCGCGATGTCTCCCTGTCGTGCGGCTTATAAACCAATCCTTTGATTTGAACCGAGTGACTATGTTACATGTCGACAACACGCCGCACGACAACGCGCCGTTTGGCGTACATCGTTAGCGACAGGACAAGACGAAAGTCCGACAACGCGCCGTTTGGCGCTTTGTCCTGTTATCGCTAGCGCCAACACGACGCACTAAAGCGTTCAAAATCAGCCACCATAGTAGACAACTTATCCCAGCCGTTACTTACTAATTGTTTACATCTTTAAATTTTGCAGCGTAGGTTAGACAGATAAACCATATCCTAAAAAAAAATTGACGTTCGAAAGCTAGATTCTGAGATAGTGTTGTTCTTGGTCAGTATATCATTCTAGACAATACACAAACTAGTAGTACTATAGTAGTAGTAGGGCCAAGTTGTTGCAATAGGGTTAGGGCTTTTGTCGATATCTTATAAATTCTGGACACTGTTTTTTCCAGTACAGATATCGGCTTTAAAGGAAAAATAAACAAAACGTTAGTCCTTGAACTTTTTCTGTGATTTCAGATTAAACTTATGCATGTAAACATAAAAATATCTTTACGCTATCAGAAATGACACTACGTGTACACAATTAAAAGCAGGCCCGATAACGTTATAATCAGACACGGTATGAGGCAGTTCAAAGTATTAAAGACTACAACGGGTCGGGTCTGACCCTCTGCACGTGCATGTGTGTGCGCGCGTGTCGGTGTGTTAAACCTCTACTCCGGAAAAGAACCGCAAGTTCGATTATAACACTATTGTTACATGAGTTTTGAATTTGACTGAGCCTATATTTTTATCGGTACCTCTATAATAAAGAGTTAATAAAAAAATCCTTAAAATGACATATGCACACGAGAAATTATATAATGATAATTATAAAAAAAATGTTGAAAGTCTTATATATACCTCTAAATGAAAATAAAATAGCAGCCCTTATATAACGGCGTTCACTGTAGTGAATAAGAAGCTTGAACTGTTCCACAACTTTTATTATAATTGTACATAGGTTATCAAGTTTTCCGAAAACGTGAGAAATTTAAAATGAATCATTTATTGAGAATAGACTAAATTGTTTAGTCAGCATTTATATCGGAAAAAAGCACTATTTTCGTTCGATTTACGATACGTGATGCAGTATTTTAAGAAATTACAAAATTTATCTACTATATAGAATACAATAAGCAAATGTTTACCTTTTCTTCTTCTTTTTTATTGTTATTGGTGGTTGGTTATTTGTTGTTATATAAAATTATTTCTCTTACTATATAATAGTATGATTCATTGTGGAGTCGCTGTTTCATGGTATGCATATTTTAACATACGAAGGTGTACATAGTTTAGACCGATCCCGTCATTTTGCATTTAAAGCTGTAATTATTTAATAAAAAATGTCACACAAACTCCACACCATTAACTTTTTGTTATTTATGTCAGCCATACCATTCACAAAATACTTTTGAAGTCTCGCTGATAGTATTACCACACCGTATTACCGGCGGCAGTGATGGCAGATCACTGCAGTGATGGCAGATATCTGAAAATTACCGATCGATACAGGTAGGTTATAAATTTGGTTGGTTTAATTATATGACACAAATACGGCCCATTTCATTGCTATAAAACTATTGTCCATTGAATGGAGATACTGTAAGGTAATTTTGGACTCGTTTTTTCCTGTTTCAGACTATTTTGAGCAGGTTAAAAGTGAAAGCCTTAGAAAAATCCGTGAAAATATCTGTTTTCTGTTCAAAATATCTCAAGTTTTAAGTAAATGGCAGGATTTCCTGTTATCAATATAGACGTTCATCCATTGGGGTCACGCAAGCCAAATATCTACCCCGTGAGTCTTTTCTTAAAAGTTTTACAGACGCTCAATCTTTTCCGGTCGGAGAAAAAATGCTGCCGTTGTAGGCAGATACATATTATAAATGCTGCCGTCGATGGCAGAAATACCATGAAAGTGGCTAACATTCTGACAGAAAATCAAGTTCAATCTTTTATCAATGCCTCTTTTCTTTGCGCCCTTTTAGTCAGAATTGAGACGTTAAACTATCATTTCTAATATTTTATCAAGATAGAAAAGTTATTAACCCATTACCCCATGAGCATCTTGTGAAAAATGGCTGTTTTCATTGAAAGGTCTCCCGTTACAAGTTCAAGTTGCTATAAAACTATAAAAACTGCTTCAATACTAATCAAACTTGGCACAAATGTTGACTGGACCATTGCCTTTGTAACAACATGTTCAGTCTGAAATTTACTGTTACCATAGCAACTAGGGGACATCTCAAAATTGCCAAAAATCACTATTTTGAGTTGATTTTTTCCATCAAAATTGATTTCAAAGTGCTGCCACTTCTCAATGGATTGAGATAGAGTCAATGGCTTTTCAGCATTGGTTACACGTTACCTTATGATCGACCTGGGACCATTTTTAGCCTCCCACAAGTCCAAAGTTTTTTTTTGCGATGAGGGGGACTCAGCCCCCCTTCAAACCCCCCAAACAGAAGGGGGCACATCCCCCTTCTGGCAACCCCCTGATGTATCTTTTGGATGGGGGTGGGTGGCCGCGCCGAAAAAGTGGTCAATTTTTTAAACAACATTTATCAAACAAAAACAAGTGTTTTGGGGCCTAAATAAGGCATTTTTTCACCATTTGAGAAAGCAAAAAAGGAGGGGGGTGAAAAAGGCGTAGAAAGGCGTATATATCTGGTAATGGGTTAATAGAAACTGATGAAAAAAAAACGAAATTACCCAAAAACGCGTTTTTCCATGTTAAAACAAGGCCTCACATACAATTTTGAAGAAAAATTGCTGTTTTGTAGATTTTGATTTTTTTCATTAATGCGGTATGTGCATCGAAAAAAAGCTTATTAGCAACATGCAGTTACAATACAAAAAGTTATGATTTAGTATCACAAAATTTCACTATAAATAGAGAAATGAACATGAAAACTTCATTTTTCTATATTCATGCATGTGTGTCTGTCAGTTACATGCATACAATACTATATGTATACAATACTATATGTATCTTAAGTTTAGCAGCGCACTCCCTTTTTAAGACATAACGCCAATTGCATATTACAGCAAGTAATTTCTTTAAGTGGATATTCATTTGCTAGCATATGACATTATTTTCTCGAGGTAATAATGTTCATCGCTTTATGACAAATAAAGCCTGAAATTTACTTAATCGGCGCAGATTATAAATTATAAAATTGATGTAATAAAGGGGAGACTATTAACCTCGCAACTGGCATCAGTGTATCATAAAACAATGTATGTTAATGTAAAATGGAAAGATAATATTATTGACAGTTCAAATATTTTCCTATATTATCAAGTTCTTGAAAAACACGACAATGTGGATTCATTTCTTTAAATTTTCATGTCTGTAATAGCGTTAATTGTAGTTTGCCTTTGAATTACATTTACTATGCTAAACTATTAGCAACAGTTCTAACATCACGTGCTCCAATCTAACTATATGTTTTTTTTATTCATTTTAGTTGTAACCATGACAACTTATTAAGATGAACCTTTCGATGATTCATATCACTTGATAAAAATAAATCCTGTATTTATAGGAAAAAAACTAGAATTTTTTGATTTGTTATATTCTTTTTCTCTTTTTTTACCTTCCAATTCATATGAACAGTTCAAGCACACATGCATGAATATATAAAAATGAAGTTTTTCATGTTCATTTCTCTATTTATAGTAAAATTTTGTCGTACTAAATCATCACTTTTTGTATTGTAACTGCATGTTGCTAAAAAGCTTTTTTCGATGCACACACCGCATTAATAACTTTTCTATCTTGAGAAAATATTAGAAATGATAGTTTAACGTCTCAATTCCGACTAAAAGGACGCAAAGAAAAGAGGAATTGATAAAAGATTGAACTTGATTTTTCTGTCAGAATGTTAGCCACTTTCATGGTATTTCTGCCATCGACGGCAGCATTTATAATATGTATCTGCCTACAACGGCAGCATTTTTTTCTTCGAGACCGGACAAGATTGAGCGTCTGTAAAACTTCCAAGAAAAGACTCACGGGGTAGATATTTGGCTTGCGTGACCCCAATGGATGAACGTCTATATTGATAACAGGAAATCCTGCCATTTACTTAAAACTTGAGATATTTTGAACAGAAAACAGACATTTTCACGGATTTTTTCCAAGGCTGTCACTTTTAACCTGCTCAAAATAGTCTTAAAACAGGAAAAAAAGAGTCCAAAATTACCTTACAGTATCTCCATTCAATGGACAATAGTTTAATAGCAATGATATGGGCCGTATTTGTGTAATATAATTAAACCAACCAAATTTATAACCTACCTGTACCGATCGGTAATTTTCAGATATCTGCCATCACTGCAGTGATCTGCCATCACTGCCGCCGGTAATACGGTGTGATTACGCTTCAATTTTATCTAAAATCGCATTCATTTTTTTTCTTTGCAAAAATCACGTGGCACTCACATTTTCAATACATTATGTAAAGCAGTTTTAATACAAAAGAATGATATAGCATCGTTTTATATTCAATTAACACTTTAAATAAACAAAACATTATGTCTAATGTTCCTCCAGAAACCTGCAAACAGGATTATACTTTATAACGACTCAACTTTACGGAGTATGTGAATTACGTTAAATAATTTAAAAAAAAAATCCAATGAAAGATTTACAAGTACAAAGTTACAGAGCATTTATGTAGATGAACATATGAGAATAAGAAAGTAAGATAGAATTGTAAAAAGGATCTTGTAATCATGTACAAAGACGTCTGTCTATGCGTCATCAATCTACAAAGAGTCAAAGTATTGTAATAAGAGTGCATTCCTAATACAGAATAAACATTGCATAATAATGCATACAAAATGAAACTAGCAAATGACCTTGTGATGGTTAACTTCGTTGAAAATACAGCAGTTATTTTTCAGAAAATGCAATGTAAGCCGCACTGTTATCAGGGAATTCCAATTATATTAATCTCATTGCGTAATTTGAAAAAGTAGCGATTTTTCAAAAACATTACAGAATGTATATGGGGAATTTATTGGGAAATTCCAAAAATGAAATAGCATTGCGCATGTCAGTTATCACACCTGGTTGTTATATAATACAGTAGTCAAAACAGAAGGTAGTTTAAACATTTCAATAAAACTGTGCGGTTGATGTAATACGGAAAGAATATGTGAGTACGAGAATTTATTTTTCTATTGTTGTTTTCATATGATAATTTTGAAATATTTTTTTATCTCGCTGCTTTTATGTAGTTTTGATAACTTTTCTATTTTTTATTTGTTTGGGTTATGTTAATCCAAATATTTAGACGTAACCGCGGATTTGAAGCTATTTTTTTACATTGGTCAAATCCGCTTTTTCCGATAAGTTTCGTTAAACTGTAAAAAAAAAGAAAATGCGAGATGTGTGAAGTTGGCGGCCCAGCGGCGTGAAGTAGGCGGCCCAGCGGCCTGGCGGCGTGAAGTTGGCGGCCCAGCTTGTAGAAATGTTATTTTAACAATAAAACGGCATTTAATGAAGTTTTAAATATAATAAGTGTTATTTAAAGGATATATAAAAAGAAAAATCACTTTCAGAAAACTTTTTTATTTTGTCATTTTTGTGAAGTTGGCGGCCCAGCGGCCTTCCGGCCAAAAAATGTGGTAGAAATGTTATTTTAACAATAAAACGGCATTTAATGAAGTTTTAAAGATAATTCTTGTTATTTAAAGGATATATAATAAGAAAAAAATCACTTTCAGAGAACTTTTTTATTTTGTCATTTTTGTGAAGTTGGCGGCCCAGAAGCCCAGCGGCCTGACGGCCAAAAATGTTAATGTTGTAGAAATGTTATTTTAATAATAAAACGGCATTTTATTAAGTTCTCAAGACAATTCTTGTTATTTAAAGGATATATTAAATGAAAAAAAATCTTTTTTTTTCTTCTTTTTTTTTTTAACGTTTGTAAAGTTTTTGGCCTTTTAAGATTTTACAGTTATTGAAATGATTTAAAAAGAAATGGTATTTAATGATTTTTTTGTTATTTAAAAGATTTATAAGCAAAGGATCACTTAGAGAGATCTTTTATCATTTTTGTGAAGGTAGCGGCCTAAATTTGTCATATATATGGTACGCCTGGAATTCAGGAGTTGATATTTACATACATACGCATTATTTCATACTTGTTCGTGATTTTGATAATATCGATCAGCCGAACAGAAGCACATAAAAATGACAGACTGGAACGCAGGCTTATATTATGGTGTATAATTTCTGTAACAAATATGAATTGTCCTTTATGAAGTTTTAAAACATTTTTTTCAGGTCCCATCCAATTTATTATCCCCGTCCAATCCATGAGTATAAGTCATCCTTTACTGACTTTACCAAAAAACTTTTGCTTACACATTTAACATTTAACAATAACTCATGATTACAGATGGGGTTATGGTCATACCCTAAATGATTACCTCCTTGTTATTGAATGAAACTGAAAAGTTGAATGGTTGGGATTCTGATTGCTAGCACAAGTGTAAATTTGTCGTTATTCGGGTGAAAAATGTATTGAATGTTTCCATGTTGTCATTTTAACGCTATTTTTTGTTAAAGTTCAAAACGTAAACATGTAATTTTTAAACATTGATTTGTTTTAACATTTGTATATGTTGTATGTTGCTTGTAAATGTATGTAGTTGTTTAAATTATTATCATGAATTACATGTTTGTCAATATATCGTTTTGCTATTGCTGTATTTAAACACTTCATTCCAATGGTGTTGTATTTACGGATATTCCTAGAATAAATGTACATTATCTTTGCTTTCTAATTAAAATTATTAAGGTTTTGCTCCCATTTTCCATCTGCATCGCATAATAGTTATTCCTCAACACCGCATGAATTATGGTAAAAAAATATATTTTTGTTACAATGGTGCCAATATTTGTAATAGAATCTTATTTTATAACGGTCATATTATTCTCTAAAATCTTTTGAAAATTAAAATAAAAATAAAAACATAACTTGTACACGAAATAAATATCTTTATAACCATATCATTATGTTATAATACTTAATTATGCATGTATATTTATAATAAATAAGTATCGGGCCATATACCATCCTCAGTCTGACCAACCAGTCTGTAAACTTGCATATTGCCCGAAAGGCCATGTTTTATTTTTTAAATAAACCCCATTCATCATTTCCGATATAGGGCCTTTTCTGTTCTAATGTTGTTTGAAACCTGTTGTAGCTTAAAGATAAAAGTCAGATAGATAAGTGATAGCGTTTGTGTAGATGAGCTACGCAATTCGCTGGTCAGTGATTTCCCGCATATATTACGAAAATTTTCAAACAACATTTTTTGTGTTTATTAGTTATATCAGATACATAGGTAAATGTGTTGAGCACGTTTAAGATAATTATTTAGTGACCTAATGGTCAAGTCCACTATAACGGTGTAAAACAGTTATCATATTGTATTTATCATCTTTCAACGATATAAATAAAAAAACTACTAATTGGTCAACTGTCCACTTAACGCAGTAGGTAAGACTGTCAGTTAAATTTGTATTTGAATATCAATGCAAGGCAGGTTCGATTCGCAAAAATTATTTCTGCATGAAGAATATTTTTACTGTGTTGTGTTTTTTTTATTTACTTCTCATTCCACTTTTTCTTTTGTTTTCAATGTAGGCATATCTAGCAAGTTGGTAAAACCTTATACTGCATACAAGTACACAAATTGTTTCAACTATAGTTCTGCTGGCACGAAATAGCCGTGCACTACACAAGTACTATGACTACTACATACTGATCAAGACACAAGATAAAAATATTATTTTCGGTATATTAAAATTATTAGATATTATAACAAAACTACCTTGTTATCCCAATTCATTTGCATATATCATAAAATTGAAAAAAATAAGGAAAGAAAAATGTCAGACAATTTCTGAGGCTCGAACTCGTGGTAAAATTTCAAATCGTATCGTTTACCAACAACTTTACCGAATTTGCCATAAAGTTGTTTCAAATGGTACTTCTTATCTTGTATTATATTCTCTTCTTCAAAAAAATCTGTTTTACCTATTATCCTGAGATGATAATTTGGTCTTAACGGTACTTGGGAAAGTCCATTAAAAGGGTAAGTCTGCATATTATCGGAGATTGAAAGTGTCAACAACTATATATAGTATAATTTCTAATAAAAATGTGTACCATCGTAGAGGTTCAGCTGGTAAATCAAGGTCACTGTAACTTCTTATGATTTGCACTCATAGGTTCGAACCCTAAGCTCAAACATGACATAACGATGATGTTATTTTGTTTTTCCCTTTTCACGGGGGAGGAAGTGTTACACGAAGGATGGAGTTCTTATGATAACTTGTTCAGGAGTTCTTGTGATAACTGTCACGGAGTCCGTCGGAAAACATCTGTATATACTACAAAAAACAGTCGTCAAAAATGGTTATTTTCATCGTTCAAAAATTAGTTCTGGGAGCTAAATTAAACTTAAATGATTAAGCTTGTCTTACATCTTGTATTATGTGTCAAAAACTAATTCACAGGCCATTTTCCATCGCCTCTTGCTTCAAATCTGGTAGTTTTGAATAAAATTTCCAAATTACTAGCCAATTCACAAGTTTTGACCGATTTGTTTCTGGTCTTCATCCTTGTTATACATAATTACCTAATTAAGTGACCTTGACCGTCAAGGTAAAAGTATTGAATATTGACCTTCACCTTTGGACGATATTAAACAAATCTATTAGAAACCTATTTGAATTAAAGGAAAATTTATTTTTTTGTCTTTAAGTTTGTTTTTAAGGATTTCTTAAAACCGTTTAATTGTTTGCTGTTAGAAAAGTAAAAAAAAGTCGAGTGTTTCCCCATCCGACGGTGGCTCTTGTGTTATAGACCGATGTCTTTCATATTTAGTAGGCAGAAACTTTTCGTTGTTCTGTAACTTTGGGTTTGAGGTAGGGATCACTTACGTCAAGGTCAATGGTGCTAAAAAAGATGTTTATAGTTTTGTACTTACAGCATTCACTGCAAAATGTGCATTGACTACATTGACAAATATACAGGATCTGGTATTTAAGAGATATTATTGGCTTATATAAGTATATACGTTTCATTAAAGCAATATATCTGCATGTATTACATGTATTACTTAACTGAGATGTTGTACCGAAATAGGTACATAGTTTTGTTGACCAGTCTCATATTACCTTTACTGTATGTATTATCTGTTTAATATGATGTTAAATATTCATTAAAATTTAAAACAAAACCCCGTATTTGCTTATTATTTAAAAGTATTAAACATCCTAGTATTGCACTTTTATTAGACTGCTATTTTTTGCATAAACGGAATCGGCAAATGTGTTGGAAAAATGTAAGAATTCCTTACATGCCTGCGTCATATAGACAATACACAGGTATTGAACAAACAAGTAATGTGACATTTTAGATACCCCGTTTTCAAGACTTTAAAGCCGCAATTTTTTTACATTTCAAAAGGTACTATTCAAATAAAAACCATTACATGTAAAAATTCAAGACTGTCCAAAATGATTGTCTTGACTTAATTACCGTTAATTGACGAGATGTGTCTAAAGAACAACATAAAGAGCCTTTCAAATTGTCATCAAAACTGTTGTTTTTTTTCATATTACGAGGAATTTCTTATGAACTTCATAATATGAAGATGTGTACCCCCGCAATAAGTCCCGTTATTAATAATATTAATAACATTTCTACAACTGTAAATTTCCGGCTGCGAGGTCGCTAAGAAAGCAAAGCTTTCTGAATGAGTTTTCTTTCTTTAGAAAAATGTGTTCTCAAAATGATTTTTTCTTTTTATATATCCTTGAAATAACACGAATTGTCTTTAGAACTTCATTGAATGCCGTTTTATTGTTTAAATAACATTTATACAGTTCTACAGTTTAAAATCACTTAAGAGTCGTTTTAATTTCTTTGCCAAACTTGTATTAATTTTTAAGTTCAGGCCGCTGGGCCGCCAGGCCGCCAATTTCACAATAAAGACAAAATGAAAAAGTGTTCTCAAAGTGATTTTTAACTTTTATATATCCTTTTAATAACAATAATTAACTTTAAACTTCATTTAATGCCGTTTTATTATTAAAATATCATTTGTACAACATTAAAAATTTATGCCGTCA